AGCTTCCGATGAAAATGTATTTAACTTTGTGTCATGCTTGAATTGGTTTTGGACCTCTTCAATGCTTTTAATTTATTTATTATTGTTATTTGGTATTATGAGCTGATATGTATATATACATACGGTATCTAAAATTAAGCGTATAGCGAGCATATTTAACAATTTTTAAGCAATAATGTATTGCGAGCAGCTGTAACTTAAATATCGCATAAAAATCATATAATTATAACACAAAACTAAAATTTTATTGGAATCTAGGTTAAACTAAGATAAAATTAATATCAGCCCCTTCGCCACTCTCAGCAGTCAACCAGGGCTCATAAAAGCTTAACAGCGCCTGGGTCCGTTCACCAACTGTGCTAATGTGAGTGGCGGTGTGGTAAAACCCATTTTAACAGCGTGAATATTTATCAAATATAAGCGCGCTAGCTGCTAGCATACTTGTATCATTTAATTTTTAATCAAATTTATTCGGATATATATTTATTGATTATGTATTGAATTGGTGATAAATAATAAAATTGTCTTTTCTCAAAAAATTGTCTTTTCTCCTAACGTCTGCTCTATCCAGAGCCCTCTCGCTTGCAGTAGCGCGCGACCGCAGAAGGCATCCCAGGAAACTATACTGGCTGGAGCCTAACTTTGAAAGTAAAAGAGATAGAAACGTCTGGTTTTCAATAAAATGTTCGCCTTGTAAAAATAACGTTTCCCCCCAGGCACAGGGGGAGCTGAAACCAGGTTTTCGATCAAACATTGCCATTTGTAGTCAAACGTCGCCAACAGTTGCTCTCGTCCAATGAAATCGCTGCATTATGAAAGCGAAGCCACGCATACGAATATATGTAATTCAATTATGCATAATGGCAGGCAAAATGCAGCGATTTCATTGGACGAGAGCAACTGTTGGCGAAGTTTGACCACAAATGGCAGCGTTTGATCGAAAACCTGGTTTCAGCCCCCCCTGTGCAGGGGGAAAATTAAAAACAACGTAGATTTTGAATTATCGCGAAAAGTCATATTTTAGGTCATATAAAACTGCACAGCTTTAACTTTGCAGATTGTTGTTCTCTGATTGGCTGAATCGTATCACGTGGTACGCGGTACAATTGCATCTTTGGAATGTTTGAAGCGTGCAAATGCAATGAACTCACGAGCGCGCGCGGAGCTCAACAAGCTGTGAAAAGGCGATCACCCTGTAGTAATATCGCTAGCCGGTAAGGTCTGCTGGGCCTGATATTGGGATACGAAACATGTATCAAAGGCGCGCCAAGACGCGCACCTAGTTGGAGTCGTCGACGGTTTGACCATTGTTAATGGTCTGGCCCGGCGCGCGCTACTTCGTAGCACTTGCCATCGGGCCATTTCGAGAAGAAAGCGGCGAGCGCTACTTCGAAGAAATTTAGACGAGTAACATCCGTCAAGACCAAATATAATATTTTACAAATATTGCATGTCAACTCAAGCTAAAAATGTGTTTCGCAGCGCGCGCTACTTCTGACTTCGTCAAAATGCAAATGTTTACATTTTGGTTTAATGCATTTGATTAATAATCGAGATCGTTGCTCTGCGAAGCAAAAATGCTTGTTTGCGCGGCGTGTCGAAGTTTGGTATCACATTATACTTTTTATTTTATATTTGGGACCTCTTACCTGGGGAACTCAGGCTATCATGTTCATAAACAATAAAGATTCGGCGGAATGACAGGCTGAGCTCCGCCCAGTAAGGGACCTTTTGATTGACAATGTCAACCCTGGCCCCTCTAGATCGTTGCGTTGCGAATTAGCAAAGCAACTATGTGGTATATTGCTTTAAAATGTTTTCTGTAAGCTGCTGGTTAGCCAATTTGTTACACTAATTTTCAATGAAAGTTATTCAGATGCTGTTGGATACATAAGGAAGTGCCTTCGTTTCGAAATCCTAAGAACAACAGTGATTTCTGTACGGGGGGGGGGGGGGGGGGGGACAGAGGTGCGAGAAAGAACTTTGTTGATATAAACAGTTTAGATTTGAATTTAGAGCCACAAGGCCAAGGTTAATATTCAAATGTTTCTCCAAATATTTGCGATAGGGAATATATTGATTTTTTGAAGGGTTGTTTTTGTATAGGGTCATTGTGACAATTATGTGTATATTGTTTGAATAATTTTATATATTTCTCAATAAAACAAGAAATTTTTTCAACGAAACAAGAAATTTAATTTTTAGCACATTTCACAGATTAAAAAGGTGTAAAACAATTTATAAAAATATAATGCTCATTTGGTGTATGACTTTTTGTCCTTGACTGTTAGTTTGATTTTGAAGGGACAGGTAACTAACGGGGCAATGAATGTGCTTGACCATGATCTGGCCCGGCGCGCGCTACTTCGTAGCTCGTGCCATCGGGCTTTCGAGAAGAAAGCGGCGCGCGCTACTTCGAAGAAATTTAGACGAGTAACATCAGTCAATGAATGTGCATGCCTGGAAGCTTTTCCACACACCGAAAAGCTAGTTCAGTTGAGTTTTTAGAGAAAAGGCTCATATTAGGATCAGAAGAAAATTGTTAGCAGACATTAGGGGTTTTGTTTTTATTTGTTACTATGGGTTGCAGTCTTGTTGTGACAGAAAGTCTACACTATATAGTATGCTCAAGTTTATATTGTGTAGTTTGATGATATAAAATGCAACTTCAAGATGGATATTGGAGAGCTGGTGAAAAATTAAGGCCTTTGTATCAATGGTTATATAATAAGCTATAAATATCTTAAATTATCAGTGGTCGACTGGGGCCCCGGCCAAAATCACAACCCCCGGCCCTTCCCGGCCCGGCCAAAATTTGGTAAATTGCCAGGGGTAAACCCCGGCCCCGGCCAATTAATTTAACCCCGGCCAAAAACCATGCATTTGCCGGGGGCACAGCCGGGGATTTTATAAATGATTTTGGCACATTTAAAAAAAAAATCAAACACAATTTAATGGTAATTAGGAGATTTCAAAGTTGAAAAATTTATTGTCTATGTTGAGTATGTTTAAATATAAAAAATACAACATACAGCTTAAATTAGACTACGGCTAGTAACATAAAAACCGTGGTTCTTCCTCAGTATGATCAGACTTTTCAATTAATCGTCTCCGAGAAATTTGCGATAAAACATACGTAGAAACTAGAAAGTAAAAATACTGCACTGCAGCTAAAACTAAGGCTCAACGTAAACTACAGAGCCTACCATTTATGGTAAATTTTTGTGAACTGAGCCATATTTGGATGTGGGATTACTTTTAAATCCCGAGGTCAAGATAAAGTAGCAGCTGAGGGTTATCCTCAGTTCCGAGTTGAGGATTAGAAATTAAGCATGGATCTCAGGATAATGAGGATTATCCTGAGTTGGTTCACAGCACGAAGTTGCGGTTTAATCCTCAAGTCGGTGAGGATAAGCCGCACCTTGAGTTTAATTCTTCCCGATTGCATCACACCAGCCTAAATTATTGTCAAATTCATGTTTCAATTTCTAACTTCAGTTTGGTAAACTACCCCCGGCCCCGGCAAAATGGAAGATTTCCCGGCCCCGGCCAATTCTCAGTAGTCAGACCCGGCCCCGGCTATATTGGGGTTCCCCGGCCCTGGTCAGAATCCTGCCCCTGGTCGACCACTGTAAATTATACAGTGCTAATTAAAAATTTCTTTATACTTCATTCTCAAATTAAATCTTAAAAATTCAAAAATATGCATTAATTTTATTAAAACCTTTCTCACACATACTTTACTCACAGGACAAGACTTGGAAAACACTAGACTAGGGGAATTTCGTTCAGATGTGTGTGGCCAGCAAGTAGTGATCTTTGGAAGACATTTCTACTGGATTAGTGATAGCTAGTCCAGCTAACTTTGATTTGAGGGAGAATAGGCCATGCTCGAGGTCTAACCATATTGTGTGACCTGTCATGTTGGGAATGAGTAAATACCTGATATTGTCCTTGATGGGCTGCAAGCTCTCTGCACTATCAGGGATGGTTCTCATCAAATCAAAAATCATATCAGAACACGATTCAGGTTTGATCTGTTAAGGAGCACACTCATTGCACTGATGGGAATCAGAGGAAGATCCAGCTCAGCAATGCTGTGCCAGCATCTTGTGGCGTAAGGAATGCCCCGCTGACCCCGCTGTGCAAGGGGAGGGGGGGGGGGGGTTGCCAACTTAGGGGCGTGCTAAATCATCATTTTAATGTGGACATTTTGAAAAACTTAACTCAAGTACTAGCAAAATTGTGAGTTATGCTCTAGAGTCTAAAAACACACTTTTTTAGAGATTTTACTTGTGTATCCTCTTTAATCATCTAATTTTAACTTTATAAAAGGGGAGGGGGTGTCAAGAGGGGGACACTTTTTGGGTGGGGGCGCAACGTTGCAAGACGTATCCTTTAACTTCATCCCTTAGATTGAGATAAGCTTTACGGTCTCCTAGATCACAAAGGGTTGTTCACATATCACATGATCAATTGTTTGGCAAATGTTGCTAATAAATGCTTTATCAACTTATATAGTCAATGAAACAAGAAATTAAATGAAACAGGAAATTTGAGCACATTTTACAGAATCAACAAATTTATAACAATGAAAATATAATGCTCATAATTATAAAGTATAATTAAGTATATTTTTACTAGGTCTTTGAACCTAAAATTATATTTAAATTAATTAAATATTTATGATGTTGTGTGATGTTTTGTGTCATTATTATTTGATTTGATTTGATTAGATTTAGACATTATGACACTTTTGGTATTGAGTATATGGTTATTTGATTTCCCCATCTTTCGGTAAAGTGACTTCATATAAAACCTAATAGGACATTTGCCTAGAAGCAGATTCGAAATAAGTAATAAATTATTAATAAGTAACACATTAATATTGAGAATGATTACATAGTTATTTACAGCGTCCCATGTAAACCTTAAGTTTATCGAGAATTTGCTGAGATTAGACTCCTTTATAATTGCTAACCATGCTATCCTCCAGTTGCTCACAATGAATCACTTACAAAGCCTGCTCCAAGATGGTCTGATCTCAACATCACATGTGGAACACGCTGCTATTATCCGCCGCAAGGACTCATCTCTTCGTGCCTCATCAGTTGGCTTCATGCTAGACCCTGAGGAACTGAGTTGTATTGTCAAGTTTTTTCGGGAACCTACCTTACTGCGCAGTGAAGGGTTCCACTTGACTAGCACAAACCAGGAGTACCATTGTCTGAGGAGTGACAAGAACAGTATCTACGCAAGAGTAGAGGGTGGAAATGAGGGTGGTGTGATCATTGTTAAGACTAACACACTGGTTATCATAGCAACCTACGCTAACAATATGTACCCTAGTATTTGTGTAGAGGCTGTTGAAAACTTGGCTGATTATTTTAGAGACAAAGCAAAGTGATGATGTTGATCTGTTATTTAATCAGATAGTTGATGATGATAATGATGATGATGCCAAGGATTGATGTTCAGAGGTCGAAATACAAACACCAACTCAATTTGAAATTAAAGATATTTTTTGTACATGAGAATGTTAACGGCAGTAATACCGCAGTAGTCGACATTATCATTTCTTATCAAGATTTCAGATAGAGCTGAAATACCTTGGTAACGATGATCTGTGATCTGTTGAAATAAATAAATTATTTCGCCTCCGATTTTTTACAGATCACTGCCTTGTGGTAAGAACTAAGAATAGTAATTTAATCTTTTAATAGACAGTGATTTTTATGGGTGGTTCAGGTTTCCGAGTAGTCTTGATAATCCAATTTGTAAATACCTAATTATGTTCTGCAGCACTAGTCTGTACAGATTTGTGCCATTGTATACTGTTGTGAAAGTTCTTTTCTTGTGGAGTGTGGATTCATTGTATTATACTTATATAGATAATAAATAAAGATCGTGAATGTAAATAATGAATTCGTGTTATGTCAAAATATTAGCTCATATAAAAATATAAAAGGGTTAACATTTACCCTATAGTACAATTTTCTTGCCGATCTTAGAAAGTTACAAGTTCACAGTTTGCACATGGCAGTCTATCGACATGTATGTGAAAACTGACGTGTATCCCCTCCCTTAGTATTATTTGATCAATAAACCACTCATAATACACAGATGACGAGGATAAGAAATGACCTGTTGCTAAAATGCTTGGGTCACATCTCTCGACGTGGAGACGAGACACTATCCCAGTTCCTGAAGCGGATCACCCACGTTTACTTCCAGGACAAAAACATCTCTGTTATCGAGAACCTGCACGACTGTGCTAATCTATCAGTTCTCTATCTTTACGATAACAAAATTGAGGAGATAACCAACCTAACTTTTGCAGTCAATCTCACTCATCTCTATCTTCAGAATAACGTTATATCAAAACTAGATGGACTTTATCGATGTTGCAACCTAAACAAGCTGTATCTCGGGTTCAACAAGATAATTGTCATTGAAAATCTTGAGAAATGTACCGAACTGAAGGAGCTTCATGTGGAGAATCAAAAACTACCGACTGGAGAGAAAATGTTGTTTGATCCCCGTACACTGATGTGTTTATCACAGTCACTACTGGTCCTGAATATCTCAGGTAACGGTGTTGATTCTGTGAACGAGTTAGCGTGTCTCAAGAGTCTTACCCAACTCATAACTAAAGACAACAAGCTGACTAGTATGAAGGAACTGTCACGAGTTTTTGGGTCTCTTTCTTCGCTGTGGAAGCTGGAAATCGAGGGAAATCCCGTGTGTTCGAAACCTAAGTTTAGAGATCGTGTCATCATCATGGCAGGCAATCTTGCTATGATGGATGGTAAAGAAATAACTGATACATCTAGAAAGTTCCTTCAGAACTGGAGAAATATGCGAGATATGCGGAAGAGGGCAAGTGAGCAGGATGTCCTACCACCCATAACAAATGGCCCTGAAGATGTTGTGCAGCAAAACAACACCAACAATCGTAGCTCTGAAAAGTCAAGAGAGCCACCAGGTCAACCAACTAACGGCCGGAACGGGACACACAACGGGACACACAACGGGACACTCAACGGGACACACAACGGGACACACAACGGCATACCTGGCAGTAACGGTGAAGTATTTACTCCGCAGAACTCTCTCTTGTGGGCTACTGAAAACAATCAAAATAATGGTGTTTATAAGATACGGTGAGAATGTTGTTATTTTCAGTTTTCCCACTTTTCAGAACTTCTGATATCATTTGTGGACTTGCTATTTTTGTCACTGTATAAAGCTATCTGGATAGATCTCCCTTTAGAAGCATGAAACAATTAGGTGCAGTGTGTGCCCTAAATTGTTTACAAGAATCTGTTCAAGTTCTCAACCCGATATTTGCTTCCTGTTCTTTGCATTAAATTTGATTGCGTATTACCAAGTAAAGTATTTATTAACTGCTTGTAAATTCAAGTGTGGTTTTATCACAGAATTTCGATTAGTAAACGGACGAAAGTCTCTGATAACAGTGTAGTTAATTTTCTGGGGTTTGTTTTGTAACAGATCATTTGAGTGCTGGAACATTATTAACGTCTTTTTTGTAGAATAATTCACGATTTTATATGAAATTTCGATAAAAGCTGTGATGGTTGAGTATAATCACTGATATTTTTATCTGTAGATACTAGATATAGGATAGAGAAATTCGTTTTTTTTCCAATCTTTTTTAGGTTGATTATAGTAGGTAATATTTGAAAGTTATGATGATGATCTGTTGAATAATTTAATGTACGGACGAAACATTAATTTGTGAAAATGGCTTTTTGATGCAACAAAATTTCGTTATGCTGGACAAAAATACGAGTAATTGAAAATGTTAAATGTTAAAATGAGTGATTTTATTTTCACAATTGTTTCCAAATTAGATATAAAAATTGTATTTAATTGATATAAGTTTGTTTTTCTGGCAGCTACCGACAAATCTAATCTCATCACTTCATATATAATACGGAGCAAGGACAAAAGAAAATCGCGAATCGACAAGCGGTCCATTGTTCAATAACAAGCAAAACATACATACATGTTACATGGCGAGATGTCCATCCAAAAGGATTAGTCTGCGTCGACTTTGTATTATACAACTTCGGCAGGTAACATTTCTCCATCCGTTTCGATCTGCAGCTAATCTTCTCATACAATCAATCGTGAGTCCATTCTGATCCAATCCCTGCTCAGCATCCTCAATAAATACATCATTTAAGCTCTTCCTAGGCCCTTAGATGGCAAGTACGTACGGTACAGGGCTTTAAGTACGTACGGTACAGCTACTTTTAAAGGTACGTACCGTACAGGCACTGTAAGGTACAATTTTTTTTCAAATTTTTAGAATCAACTTCAGTGAATTACTATATGTCTAGTGGTCAAGTTAATGTCTAGTGGTCAAGCTTTATATGACGTCTAGTGGTCAAGTTAATGTCTAGTGGTCAAGTTTTATATGTCAAGTGGTCAACTTAAAGTGGTCACCTTTATGTGGTCAAGTCATTGGCCAACAAGGTTACGTCAGCACTCAGCAGGCGAGTGGGAGTGGGTTAAGAAATACTTGTGAAAGTGGATTCCTGGAAAGATATTGTCTCCACAGTTCATTCTACCCTGATCATTATGAGCCTAACATTGTTTTTTTTTGGTTTTCTGGTAATGTTCAGGTAGTTAATCCTGTCTAATAGTACAGACAAATCCGTCTGAAAAAATCGATCTGCTGACACACGAAGCTTTCAGAGGATTTTTGACGTTTTTGAGTCCCATTAGGTGCCCTTTATGGCTGACCAACTTTTCCAAACTTTTCCACTTGTCTTAAGGCCACTTTTTGCCACTTTACCACTTTTTACCACCTTTCTTGTTTGTCGAATATCTTTAGTTGTGAACATCGTAAAAGGTTGCGGATCAATCGAGTGTGTTCATATTATCAGGAAGAAAAACTTTTGTTCAAACAATTTTTACGTCAGATAATAAGTTAATTGGATAATTATCAATTAACTAATTAGCAAAATTCTAAAAATTTTTTATTGGCTCAAAATGATCGGAATAGCTTGAAACACGGAGAAAAGTATTTTTTAGAAAAACTTTGAAAATTTTTCACTTACATTTTTTTTCGAGACTTCAAAATATTTTTTCTGCCAAATGTGATCAAACCGCATGAAACACGGAGAAAAATGCCTTTCAAAAAAACTTAGTGAATTTTTCGTTTCAAGAATACTTAAATCGCCAATATTTGTAGTTGGAGTTCAGTAAATCTCGGCAGATTTTAGTAATCAGGAATTACTAAGTGAAGAGGTCTGAAACTGAAAAACGTTAACCATACGATCGCGCGGCGATATAAGAGTTTCATAAACTAATTTTCACAGAAACTGCACCAATGGCACAGTCAAGATCGAAACGATAGCCTGCTGTACTGTCATTTTATTGATTTCAATGATGAATCAGTGGGGTTAAGATAATCACATTTGTAATAAATAAACATCTCTGAACCGTCAATTGTGCTAATCTAAACCAGCCTACCTGTATTACCAGACCTCTTCTTTTCCTCGACAATCAAACCAAGTTGTTCATATCGCATTTGGTGGGTGATGTAAGTAGTAATGCGCTTAGTCAATAAAGACACCGTGATTTTTATTAAAAGGAGATGATGAAGCAAGTATTCATAACACAAAGAAGAATGGTCGGTGGGAATTGGGACCCACTTAAATCACCTTAACACAGTGCCCTCAGTAATCCATCCTGTCATTAAAATTATTTGTTATATAGTATAGTGTTGAAAGTATTGAAACTAATACATATCGAGCTGTATTCAATCAGACTACGACACAATACGTGTATATTATATGGCTCTTAATGACTAATGAGGTTTATGTAACGCTTTATACCGTGAGAAACCCGGTATAGAGACGTTTTAAAGTTTATCACGAAAACGTATACTTGGCCTCATGGCTCATTTACAGTTCGAAGAAGGCAAGAACAGATCAGGGAAACTAAGGAACAGCCAGGTCCAGGAAGCAAGTGTAAATACACCTTCCAACATCAACTGTGACTTGTTTTGTATTGTTCTGCATACCGCTTCATTTACTATGCTGGATCGGTGGTTACCTCAAATCACCCCCATATGTCAGGGTCGGCTAAACGTAAAATCAGCAAGGGTAACATACTGGCAAGGGTAAGATGTAGATACGAATGACGGGCGAGGGGTAATAAAAAACCAGTAATAATTAATTCAGTGAAATGTTCCACGAGAGTCAGGATATTTTGGAAATTGCTAATAGAGACAGATCCTGATCAGGAAGGATTGTTAATGTTATTGAGGGTGTTGATTTGAAATCCGGACGTCGTGAGGTAAAAATACAGGTTCTTCCCGTAGGATATTCGGGGCCATGATGATCAGCTCAGGATTAATGTGGAGTTGAAAATTTAAGCTTTCTGGTCTTTTCTCGCCTTCTTTGAGCTGTCAAAGAGCCATGAGGCCAAGTAGACGTTTTCGTGCTAAACTGTTAAACCTCTCCATACTGGGCCTCTCACTGGAGTAACGAGAAGTGTACGGTATAGAACGTTTCATATACCTCATTAAGGACCATAATATAATATACACGTATTGCATTGTGTCGTATTGTGATTGAATACAGCTCGATATGTATTACTACTTACATCACCCACCAAATGCGATATGAACAACTTGGTTTGATTGTCGAGGAAAAGAAGAGGTCTGGTAATACAGGTAGGCTGGTTTAGATTAGCACAATTGACGGTACAGAGATGTTTATTTATTACAAATGTGATTATCTTAACCCCACTGATTCATCATTGAAATCAATAAAATGACAGTACAGCAGGCTATCGTTTCGATCTTGACTGTGCCATTGGTGCAGTTTCTGTGAAAATTAGTTTATGAAACTCTTATATCGCCGCGCGATTGTATGGTTAACGTTTTTCAGTTTCAGACCTCTTCACTTAGTAATTCCTGATTACTAAAATCTGCCGAGATTTACTGAACTCCAACTACAAATATTGGCGATTTAAGTATTAACTTTTTTTGAAAGGCATTTTTCTCCGTGTTTCATGCGGTTTGATCACTTTTGGCGGAAAAAATATTTTGAATTTTCGAAATTTTTTTAAGTCTCGAAAAAAAAATGTAAGTGAAAAATTTTCAAAGTTTTTCTAAAAAATACTTTTCTCCGTGTTTCAAGCTATTCCGATCATTTTGAGCCAATAAAAAATTTTTAGAATTTTGCTAATTAGTTAATTGATAATTATCCAATTAACTTATTATCTGACGTAAAAATTGTTTGAACAAAAGTTTTTTTTCCTGATAATATGAACACACTCGATTGATCCGCAACCTTTTACGATGTTCACAACTAAAGATATTCGACAAACAAGAAAGGTGGTAAAAAGTGGTAAAGTGGCAAAAAGTGGCCTTAAGACAAGTGGAAAAGTTTGGAAAAGTTGGTCAGCCATAAAGGGCACCTAATGGGACTCAAAAACGTCAAAAATCCTCTGAAAGCTTCGTGTGTCAGCAGATCGATTTTTTCAGACGGATTTGTCTGTACTATAATACTAGTCTAGATTTGATCATGTGGGGCCAGACTGCTATGATCGCTGCCTAGTGCCTATGAATCTGAAAAGAATGTGATACATCCTGGTTCCTTAATCCTTTATAGCGTTTAATATTTTATTTATTATTGCACATTGAGGCTTGAGCTGCTCATGAGTGCTGTATTAATTGTTGCCGATCCGGAGAGACTCGAGGATCGAGGGACAATAATCTTACATATTCTGGAATTGCTGTTCACACACTACATATTCTCGATAATTTCCAGTTACATACTATTACTACACACTACACATTCTTAAATGATATCAAGTGCCTAAACGTACTCCATGCCATGTGATGGTTCATGCTACCCTGATCATTATTAGCCGAAAATGTTTTTTCAAGTCTGTACCTACATTCGGAAGGCTGTGGACGTGATTGGTTCCATATACTTATAGAGAACGTGATATTTTACACGCAGATTTAAAGGAAAATACGCAAATTTGGTCACCAGATTTAAAGGAAAATGCGCGATTTGTCGCGGAGAACTTTAAAAATCGCGAATTGTCGCATGGATCTGAGAAAATCACGATTTGTCGCGGCAAACGTGAAAAATCGCGATTTGTCGCGGAGAATGGAGAAAATCGCGATTCCGCACGTGCCGCGATTTCCTTTTGTCCTTGATACGGAGGGATATTTTTTGACAAATTAATTACCGAAGACTCTTCATTGCTTTAGATGTGAGAGATAGCATATTTTCATTCGAATCATTGAGTTCCATGTAGCTGGTTAAGAAGGTTACGCATTTAGATTCTTTAAAACTGATTTTTTATGATATATGTCTGAATATTATCTAACAACCTCCCATAGTGCCAAGAAATGAGTATAGAAATACATAATCCTCACCTGGTGAACAGCTTGGTAGCAGATGCAGAGCGCCGAACTCTCAGAGCATACCCCAGTAATAAATCAGGTGCTGAGCGCAAGAGAAGCACTGCGCTAGATCAGGCTAATAGTCACCCTGTTGCTGTATCCTCTCATCAGACTACTGCCGAAACTAAGCTAAAAGTTTGTGAACTAAATGTTAGATTTAGTATTTAATGCATGAGTGGGTGGTAGATTTTTTACGCTGTTTAGAAAATTCTCAGACAGTTCAAATAATCTAGACTTATGCCGTTTAAATGTCACATGTAAATAACATTGTCTGAACGGGCTGCCAGACTTTGGGTAAGTTGTAATATGACCTCTTGGGGCCGGATCAGTTCCCTTACCCAAAGTCTCCCAGTGGTCTGAACGGATGTCTATTGTCCGGCTAGAAAAAGTCAGAATTTCGTGAGGAACGCCGCACCGGGCACCACAAGTGTAATGCAAATGGTTAGTTAACGGGCTAATTCCTAGCTTAAACAATAAGTTAAACGAATCACACTCGTGGTGCCCGGTGCGAGGTTCCCACATATTTCATTAATAAAACAAATATTTATTTACGACATTTATTTACGGCATTTATTTACGACATTTATTATAATGCTATATTATATTACTTGGTAATTTACTTTGTGTAGTCCTGGTTGTGATAAAAAGCATCAGAGTTGTCGCAAATTTACTAAAGCACACAAGATGACGTAAATAATGCAGAGTTTGCTTGCCAAGTGTTTCAGCTGCTGCGTGTAGTCCGTCTGTTTGGAGTTTGCTTGATACTGTGTTGTGACATTTTCAAACTGCACTAATCATACACTTAAACGTGGGAGGTCGGAAGTTTTCACTTTTCAAAGTGTAATTTATGTCCTGCTTATATTGTGCTTCTCAAATTACAATGGAGTGACTACCCGACCCTACTTGTGATAGATCGCATAGTATGTATACCATGGATGACACCTTAAATGATTTGAAATTATGACTTGACATATCGTTTGGGATATTAAAAATAAGTCTAGAACGGAGTTTTCACTAAAATGTATAATACATATATTTGTGACTTCTTGTAGGAAGCAGTGTGTTTTAGGCTTCCTATTTCTCTCCCGTGTAATGATTAGTTATTATTGGCTGTGCTCTCTGTTTCGTTGTACTTCTTTGGGGCTAGATGCTTTTTATTGGTAATTTTAGTTGAATTCACTTGGTTATATGAATATATGTACATATTTTAATGTTGCCATGGGCCGGCAAGTCACCATTCATCGCTTCCCGATAGTTTTACTGCCTCTCAATGTATTATGTGATATACTGATACTTTGATTGTTTATTTTACTAACACTGTAATAAATGTAGTAAAAATTAATCAAATATTATCAAAATTTCAGACAGAAGAAATAGAGAAAGACTGTTTCAAACAGCTACTGAACAGCGAACGATTGTACAGAGAGTTGACAATTACAGAAAATACGTTCGTTAAGGTAAATCCAGTAATCCTGCAGTTTTTAATAAAAAATGTCCCTAACGGCGCAACTGACAGTTTGTACTTTTCAGTATATCTAAAATCACATTCTTCTGCTTCAAACTAAATGTACCCTGATTTATTGCTCAATCGCTGTCTTACCAGACTTTGGACGATGAACTTGAAGACAATAAGCGAAAACACAAGCAGAAGTATGATGTTTTATTCTCTAAATGGGAGGATTCTATCTTCAAAACAGTCAAAGTAAGTTTTGCTTTATCTTGTACGGTTAAATCAGCTCAGCACTAACTGCGTAAGTTCTGTTGCTTATCACTGGGTGGTTTAGCGATAAGGCTAAACCTAATCATAGTATCTTAGTAAGTAATTATTAGCCCGATCAAATCGAAACTAATTAGGTAAATGGGATATATTTGGGGCATATTTCATTTTACTCTGCAGCATATAAGCTTTCTAGCACGTGTTTAGGCTGAATAGATTTTACCCTCTTCTTCCTTTCTACGTTTCAATTCACGCCCTATATTTTAATTTCCAATAATCAAGGTCTACTTTCTATTTCTTGATATTTTATTTTATTCATATTCAAGGTCAGAGGGGGGGGGGGGGGGGGGGAGGGGGGTAAATTATCAATTTCCCAGTTTTCACATTATATGTGATCGATCTGCTGCGCTGGAGATGAACGAGTAGAAAAAATTTTGGCGTGCAATATCTCAGCAACGCAAGGTTAGATTTTTATGCAGTTTTTTTCTACTTGTTCATCTTCAGCAGCTCTGATAAAATATGTGAAAACTGGAAAAACGATGTTTATCCCCCCCCCCCCCCTCTGTAGTCTGGCCTTAAGCGATTTCCATTCCGTCGTCTTTTTATATATTTCTATTTTTAGCCATCGTTTAACTTGATTATAAATAGCATAGTATTTCCACACTTTGAAAATCTCTGTTCGGAGAGGTCTGCTTTTTTCCATGTTTGCATAAGGACTACCGGCAAGGACAAAAGGAAATCGTGGCAAGTGCGGAATCGCGATTTTTCCCATTCTCCGCGACAAATCGCGATTTTTGACGTTTGCCGCGACAATCGCTCCCGCCTGCATTTCGAGATCACATTACAGTAAGTAGCTGTAGGTAGGTACTACTAATAGGTACGGACTTCAGTAAAGTAAACCGAAAAAAATATGTTAGGCTCATAATGATCAGGATAGCATAAACCGCATAAAAATAACCGGAGTTATTTTATTTTTGTGCCACGTATTAATATTTCGTTATCCTGGAGAAATATTTTAAAGTTTTAAGCCTAAGAATTCTCGACACCATGACCCATGTTTTCATTCTTGGTTTTCATCGTTTTCCTAGCTTGTTTAGTCTCAATAAATTTGGTTTACAACAATTATAGTCAAAATTTTGACTAAGTTTATGGTGGACTAAATTTGTAGTTCTTAAGGTCATGGTTTTTAAATGGTTAACCAATATACGAGCTTTTCATTTAGAATTAAAACAAGTCCTTCATATTATGTTTTTTCTTACCAGTTTAGCTTCATAGCAACTACTACAAACATAAAAGAGAAAAATGTACAGTAAACCCAGGAGGTGACCGGGATTCCCGGTTCCGGGATTGGCAATTTTGAGCTATCCCGGTCCCGGTCCCGGTCAAATGCTGATTTATTTATTTATGATCCCGGTCCCGGTTAATTCGGGATTCTTGGTCCCGGTCCCGGTCCCGGTCCCGGTCAATCACTCAAATTTGCCGGGATTTTGACCGGGATCTTTTACATAATTTCATACACTGTGATTTTAAGTTTTTCCTTTCATTCATTGTGAATTTCATCTTTAAACATCCTCTGAGCCAAATACAACAATGTTTAAAATTGCTAAACAAGTTTGAGTAATAAATTATGATCATGAATTAACCAGAAATCGACCGGAATTCCCGGTACATTTTGTATCCCGGTCCCGGTCCCGGTCAGGCCTGAAATCATGTCCCGGTCACCTCCTGAGTAAACCACTCAAAACTATTCTAAATATCATGTTATACGTATACCTAAGATGGGATAGCTAGGCCACATTTGCAATAAAAACTCTATAATGGTTTAAAGATAGCTTACTTTACTATTACTGATTAATCTTCATTGCAACACACTGTAAGATTAAAGAAATCGTTTTCGATTTATAGTGGAATTTTGATCAAACAATTCACAATTGGTTAATTGAGTAAATTAAATAATCAATAACTAGATCAAATCAAATCAAGAATAATGACATAAACATCATCACTGCTTTTAAATATTCTTCCTAATTTCTTCGTTATCAGAACTGTGAGCATTTCACAGCCTTCGTCAATAAAAAAACAAATTTTAACACAATTATCACAAAAATAACTTATTTACATACATTTTTTTTTTAATTAGTAAAATAAAAAATGTTAATTAAAAAATTTAGGGGATATTTT